TGGTGAAGACATTATGATTTGTAGTATTTTTGTTTGTTTGTTTTTTTAGCATTCTATTGGAATTTTCATCTTGGAAAGGGCTACAATTAATTGAATTAATTTTCTAGATGAAGAAACTTAGGGTAGTCTTACATCTTCCCACCTACCACCGAGTTCCTTAGTTCTCTGAATTTATTGGTTAAGAGAAATGTGATGCTCCATTTTCTTTGGAATAAGCAATATTTTAGTTTCATGGAAATCATCTCTGTTTATCATTTATTTATTTTTCCTTCCTATTTTTCTCATAAATTTAGAAGTTGGCTATGAGCCTTTTAGAATGTTCTCAGCTATTTCCTTCAGTTTACTTTTCATTCGTATTTTTATTACCTGCTGCTTGCAGAGCACTTTATTAGGTACTAGAGATATTTATAAAGAAGGGGGAATGATTATTGCCCTGAAGAACTCTACAGTCTTAAAGAGTAATTGAAAAATTCCAAAATAAACATATAAACCCAAGTTAATGAAGCATGAATAGTTCAACTGAACAGCAAAATATAGTTTTAGAAGTTTTAAAGCTTCCAGATAAAGCAATAGTAAGTTGGTGGAGTAGTCTGTGAATGCTGGATAGGAGTTAGCATGAAAATGGTCATTTCATTTGGGGGAAGCAAAGGGATCTTTGGTCTTCCTGGAGTAGAGGGACATGGAAAGGTATATGTGTAAATCAGGGATTAGGATGGAGCCACACTGTGCCGAGGCATGTGAACAAGGAGAATAAAAAACCGGGCTCATGTAAATGTATTGAGAATGAGCTTTGTTTTTCCAGGTTGTGGCTTATGATACAGGGACTCCTGTAAGGTGAAAGAATAAAGGGACTCCAGTAAGGTGAAAGAATGCAAAGACACCTCTTACTATTCTTTTGTGAGTTTGTCAGCAGTGATCATATAAGGATTGGAGTTTTGTCTGTATCAATACTATGCAGGATAATGAGTAAGGCATTAAAAATGGCAGAATCATGGAGAGGGGTGTCCAGTAATTCTTGGAAGGTCCATAGAACAAGGCTCTGGATACCATTTATTTCCTCAGAAATTTATATCCCAGTGCAAGATGTACAGGTAATAAGCAGAGTAAATTTTAAATCCTCACAAGGAAATGAAAATGAGTTTAGATATATTATACTCAGACTTAGCGGAATGAAGGATGTACCTTGGTCCTTTTCTAGTGAGAGAAGTTTAGACAACACTTCATGGTAATTTGCAAAATTAAGGGTGGAAGCATGATTTGTAAGGGCTCCAATAAATTTCAATAATTCATTGATTTCAGTTGTGGTCATTGTAACCATTGACCCATTTTGACCAGAGAAATGATCAATTAAGCTTGTGTTAGAAAAATATTTACCTGACTACATATGTTAGAATGAGGGATGGATTAGAGATAGATAAACAATCTAGATGTCTAATTTAAGTAAAAAGAGAATGTAGACATTGATGACAAAAAAGCAATGGTAATTAAAGACTTATCAATCAATACCATCAATATGTTATTAGTTAAAATGCATAAAATGGGAGTGAGGACTGTTGGGGTGCATCTGTTTCCTCTGAGCACCATTCATTTACTGATAATGGGTATGCCACACTTAAAGTGCTATTAGCAGTTCTGGAAACCACACTTTGACATATTGATCAAATGAACATACACTAATGAAACTGACCAAGATGAGCACATAACTCAGAGCCATTGCATGAGAAACGGCTGTGATGTTTAGCTTTGAGATGAATAAGTTCAATAGATACATGGTTATCATCCTAGTATTCAAAATTAGGAACTGCTCTCTTCTGGAAGAAAAATTAGTTGTGTGGCTGTGTATTTCCACATCCTAGGATCAGGACTAAAGAGTGGCATCTACAGAGAGGGAGGCTTTGGCTCCTTTGGGGAAAAACACTTTCAAATGATTTGAGTTTCTTGCCAATGGAATGAACTGTTTTGTGAGGTAGTGAGTTTCTCTTTATTGCAGGAATTCAAACATAGTTGGGCTATAACTTGGTGGGAATTTTTCACAATATTGAAGTTTTGGTTGATTGTGAAAAATGTTGTATTAGATATTTGTAAGACCCAGAGAATATTGAGTTTATGATTTTAGGTAGTGACAGTGGGAACAGAATGCAAAGAATCTGCCCTTCTTCCCTGGTTCCCTCCTCTCCTCCTTATCCCTTTCTTCCCCTCTCCTCCTTTTTCTCCCTTCCACTCCTCTCTCCTCTCCTACGCCCTTTCTCTCTCTTTGTCCCTTCCTCCCTCCTCTTTGCTACCTTTCCCACCTTTCTCCTGCCCTGTCCTTCTAACTTCCCTTCTCTGTCACCCCCTTTCTTTCTTCTCTCTTCCAAAATAGAAACTTAACTAAGTACTGGGAATACAGTGAGGAACAAAGAAGACAAAAACCCCACCCTTATGGAAGTTTCAGTTTTTTGGAGCTAAGAAATGTGATCAACTCTGATAAATGCCAGGGAAGAACAAATAGGCATCTGTAAATATGAAGGGGATCTGCTTTGGGAAAATTGGGGGAATTTGTGAGGAGGGGTAATTTCTCAAAGAATCTATTGGACATAGTGAATGATTTGGTGAAGTCACTTAGAATAAAAGAAGAAATTATAGAGTATGAAAAATTTGGAGCTTCAACTAAAAAGAATGATATACTTGAAAGAAAGAGAAAATAGGGAGAAGAGTTGGCTTTTAAATGAAAATGTTTAGGTTGCTTTTGACTATTGAATATGAAATGTTGATGGATCTGGTTTTCATTGGTTGCTTTTGGACATGCAGGTTGATAATGGTATGAAAGTGCTTCTTTGTTATAAAGGAAATTCACCTATAGCTTGGTAACCTTGACTTTTTATTTTACCACAGCATCATTTTAAATTTTAATCCTCTGCTGGCATTTATTTCAGATCTAACTGTAAGAACTCACAGATTTTTATTTTTCAAAATTACCAAAAAGAACTGGAATTTAATTTTATTAATAAAATAAAATTGAATTAAATAAAAGGGTTCAATAGAAACAACAGCATTTCTTGTAGCATTAAATGCTACATAATGAGTTAGTTTGAGATTCAATTATATCTGTGGGGTTGTAATTATTGTCTGTGTATTTTTTCCTGAGATATACATCTAAACTAAAATTTGAATGATGAAAATATTATACATAAAAATTGAGTCTGTTTTCTCCACTTAATCAATAACATTAATTTTTAAAAAATATATTTTTATTGATATTAGAGAGAAAGGGAGAGAGAGAAAAAAAAACATCAATGACAAGAGAGATTCAATGATTGGTTGCCTCTTGCATGCCCTCCACTGTGGATTGAACCTGCAACCTGGGCATGTGCCCTGACCAGGAATCGAACAGTGACCTCCTGATTCACAGGTCGATGCTCAACCACTGAGCAATAACATTAATGTTTTAAAACACCTTTTATTAGGAAAAGTTTCAAATGCACACAAAGAAAGACTAAAATAATGAATCACCCTTTTCTCCTTTATTCAGTTTCAATTTCTGGCTAACCCTAAACCCAGATTATTTTGGTGAAAGTATCAGAAGCATATTATTTAACTTGGAAAAAATTGTAGTATATATCTTAAAAGGGCAAGCAGTCTTTGAAAAACGTATCCAAGATAATAGTAATACACCTAAATAATAATGATTCCTTGATGATGTTAATTTTTAAACTTATGATTTTAAACTTTTGGAAATTTAGTAACATAATTTAAACATTTGACATTAGATGAAATAAAGCAATTATATTTTCAAAGTTTTTTGTTTATTTGTTTGTTTTTAGTTAGTATAGAGACTTGATATGTACCTGAATGATCAGAAGACACTGGCACTTGGTCAATTATTTTCTAACATGGTGGTACAAAAGTCCAGATACTCCAACCAGAAAAGGTCATTTAAATTAGATGGAGGGGTCTATTTCTCTCACTTAAAGAATTAACCACATAAAATTTCATGAAATAATATATTAAGTAATTGTTCACAGAAAAAGGAATGTTGGCTAAAAAGGCTGGGGAAAGCATATGTTAATTTCCCTGTCATCTCACCCAGAGCAAACTAAGTTTTGTATTGCCAACCTATGAAAAAGTCAATGAGTCATAGCAGGGAGATTTTGCAAGTCAATCCCTACTCTGTTTGAGGGGACATACTGTAATCTAGTGGGGGAAAAAAGTTTGTATTTTGACATTAGAAGGACCACTTAGTGAAGCTTTGTGCAAGGTATTTGACAATTGTTCTTGTTATTCATGTGACATATGAAGCTAATAACATATTTATGCCATAAAGATAGAATGAATGTGTGTGGAGTAGTTTTGTGAATTTTAGGTGCTTTTTTTCTATTTTGCCTAACAAATGACTCCACAACCTTGTGTCTTCAAGCAATAATTTAGTGTCTTCACGGCTCTGTGGAGACTGGCTCAACCAGGAGGTTACCACTTGGTGTTCTCTCATGTGATTGCGGTCAGGTGGCAGCTGGGCTGGAGGCATCAGAAAGTTAGAGAGGCTCTATGTCCAAGAGAGATTCTTCCCTCACATTCTGGCACCTCAGCTGGGAAGGCTGGCACAGCTGGGGGCTGGCCATGTGTCTGTCTCTCACCACCTAGCCATACCATAATGTTATCCTGGGCTTCCTCACAGCTTGATGGTTTCAGGGTAGACATGACATGACAGCAGGCTTCCCCTAGAATGAGTGTTCCAAGGGTGTCAGGGGAAGTGAAAACACTCTTTTGACCTAGCCTCAGAAGCCACATGGTTTCACTTCTACCTCATGCTAGTCAAAAGCTAGTTACAGGAAAGTCCAGATTCAAAGAGAGGAGCATACATATTGGGCAGCGGGAGTGGGTGGGGGACGGGGTGTTAAGGATCATTGGGGACATCATTGGTGCTAACACAGTATTTTACTAATCTAATTACTTTATACACCCTTACTGTTTCCTCTCTGTGACACAAAAGTTTTACATTTAATTTTTTTGTTTCTGGACAGGTTATCAAGGATCCTCCTCCACCACCACCCTCTGCACCACCTGTAGAGGTAAATGAGTGCTTAATAATTGATGTCAGTGTTTTTCAGATATTATCTCCAAACTTGATCAATTACATTATTATTAGATAACTGTGATACCCATGTATTGGCTTTTGAATTCATGAAAATCAATAGTTATTGTTTGTCCTCTTAGGATTTCTTACATGTGCTAGATGAGATCAAGAGTACATAGATTTAATTTGCTTCTTATAGCAATATATCAATAGTTCTTAAGTCACTTATTTTGTTTAAAAAAAGTTTGAAACTGCAAACTGGCAGTTCAAAGATGTTATTACTTTCCTCAAAATGATTAATACAGTAGTCTCCCCTATCCATGGTTTCTCTTTCTGTAGTTTCAGTTACTGGTGGTCAACTGTGGTCAGCTGAGGTCTGAAAATATTAAATGGAAAATTCCAGAAATAAACAATTAAAAATTTTAGTTTACATGTCATTCTGAAGAGGGTGATGAAGTCCACACCATCCCATTCTGTCCTGCCGGGGATGCCTTTTTCCAGTGTATCCCTGCTGTATACCTGCCCATTAGTAGCACAGTAGCTGTCTCGGTTACCAAACTATGCCTCAGTAGTGCAGTGCTTGTGTTCACATAACCCTTATTTTATTTAGTGATGGCCCTAAAGTACGAGAGTAATGATGTTGGCAGTTTGGATATGCCAAAGAGAAGCTCTAAAGTGCTTCCTTTATGTGAAAAGGTGAAAGTTCTCAATAAGAAAAGAAAAAAGAAAGTTGAGGTTGCTAAGATCTACAACAAGAACACCATGAAATTTCCTAATTTATAAATTAAACTATATCATAGGTATGTATGTATAGAAAAAGCATCGTATATCTTAGGTTTGGTACTATCCACAGTTTCAGGCATCCAATGAAGGTTTGGGGGGGAGGGGGGATAAAAGCTAAAAGCGGGCTATTGTACTTTAAATAACTGTTTTTTAGCCAAAAATGTGTTAGCAACATGAAATACAGCATGTACTGTCTTATGCATGTTTAAAGTTTCTCAACTACGTATCTTTTTAGTACAAACTTCACCGAACTCAAACATACACATACTTTGATGCGTTACATGGTTATTGAAATGCTCTCCCAATTTTAATGTTTTATCTTTTCAAATATCAAGTGATGAATAGAAAAACAAAACAAAACAAATGATGCTCATAGCAACTTTTGGTAACTTAGTGAATAAGGGAGATTCCCTGAAATTGTGGAGAGGAAGGAGTCCTCCTGTGCTCTGGAACTCCAGGGGAGATTTATGCCCTAAGCATCCACACATCTACATGTCTCATGTATAACTTGTACTGTGTTTCTTACACATGAATTGCATTATGCAGAAAAATGGCTCAGTGTGAACCAGTCCTGACTAAGCAATATTTTAAAAATGTAATTGAACCGATTTTTAAAAATTGTATCTAAATAGGAGGAAGAGGATCCTCTGCCAAACAAGAAATGGCCAACTGTGGATGCTTCCTATTATGGCGGTCGAGGGGTTGGAGGAATTAAAAGAATGGAGGTTGGTATCTTTAAAAAAATAGAAGCTACTAATTTGGAATATGAATTTCTGGAACTATGAAGCCATGGAAACTGTACTTTTTATAATTCAATATCACAATACATCCATTTTTTTACTTAACACTGGGTCTTTTGCAGATATTCTTTTTCTATGGAATCATCTTAGCCATTTCAAAATTCTCTAAGAAGAACTAACTTCATTAGTCAAAGAACTGCATTGATACCATGTCAGATTTCTAAAGGGCAAAACAAAGTTAGGGTTTTTCTCACTATTTTGGAAAAAATTACTGCAGAGAACATCAATTTTAAAGAAGCCAGCCACTTAAAATTGCAACAATACTCATCTTTGAAAAGATCTAATAGCTATGTGCTATTTGAGGAGAAAAATGTTAAAATATTCAATACTATGGATATGACCTTATCACAAGTGTAGAGGAAACACATGTGAGGCTTTTTTTTTTATACAGCTTTTGGTTACCACTTATGAACAATCATAATTAATATTCAATATCTTTTATTAGACTGCATTGAACTTGTTGACTGACTCAAATTGTGTAATGAACTGAAGTTTAATATTATATTTTAAAAATTAAATGAGGTCTTCTACCACCACATAAATATTCTTCAAAGTGATTAATCTTATATAATAAAACCCTAATATGCAAATCAACCAAACAGTGGAGCAACTGGCTGAACGACCGGTTGCTATGACACGCACTGAGCACCAGAGGGCAGATGCTGCCCCCTGGTGGTCAGTGCGCTCCCACTGTGGGAGCGCCACTTAGCCAGAAGCTGGGCTCACGGCTGGCAAGAGCAGCTGCAGTGATGGGAGCCTCTCCCTCCTGCCTACGCTTCAGGTGGGTTGTAAGGAGCAAGAGGTCCTGGACTGCGAGAGGGATGTCTGATTAGTGGCTTATTAGAGCACAGGCTGGGTTGAATGCCTCGCCCCAGTACATGAATTTCATGCACCGGGCCTCTAGTCCTACTAATAAAAGACAAATAGGGTAATTAACCATACCTCCAATACCCTTCCCATTGGCTAATCAGGGCGATATGCAAATTAACTGCCAACCAAGATGGCGGCTGGCAGCTGAAGCAAACATGAGGCTTGGTTGCCTCGGCGATGGAGGAAGCCAAGGTTCCCCGCCTGCCACGGCCCGGCCCGGCCCGGCTCTGAGCCTGAAAGCAACAGCTCCAAAAGCAACTATGTTTCAATTATAGAAGCTAAACAAATCCCAGATACCTGCTTTCAGCCAGCCAAGGTCTCAGAGCTGGAGCTGCAACAGTGTTTCAATTATAGAAGCCAAACAAACCCCAGATACCTGCTTTCAGCAGCCAAGGCCTCAAGCTGGAGCAGGGCCTCAGAGCTGGAGCCAGCTCTCAGCTCCAGTAACAGCATAGAAGGTAAATAAATCCCAGAATAAAAGAAAAAAAGGAGAGGTTGGGAGCTTCAGCCACCCACCAGCCTGAAAACGGCCCTCAGCCCCTTACCCAGGCTGGCCAGGCACCCCACTGGGGACCCCCACCCTGAAGGGGGTGTGACCAGCTGCAAACAGCCATAAGCCCCTCATTCAGGCTGGCCAGGCACCCAAGCGGGACCCCCACCCTGATCCAGGACACCCTTCAGAGCAAACCAGCCAGCCCCAACCCATGCACCAGGCCTCTATCCTATATAGTAAAAGGGTAATATGCAAATTGACCCTAACAGCAGAAAGACTGGGAATGACTGATCACTATGACACACACTGACCACCAGAGGGCAGACACTCAATGCAGGAGCTTCCCTCTGGTGGTCAGGGTGCTCTCACATGGGGAGCTCTGCCCAGCCACAAGCCAGGCTGATGGCTGCCAGTACAGCGGTGGTGGTGGGAGCCTCTCTTGCCTCCTCAGCAGCGCTAAGGATGTCCAACTGCAGTTTAGGCCTGCTCCCTGCTGGCAAGTGGACATCCCCCGAGGGCTGCCGGGCTGCCAGAGGGATGTCTGATTGCCATCTTAGGCCCAATCTCCTGGGGAGAAGGCCTAAGCCAGCAAGTGGTCATCCCCCAAGGGGTCCCAGACTGCGAGAGGGCACAGGCCGGGCTGAGGGAACCGCCCCCCCCCCCCAAGAGCACAAATTTTTGTGCACCGAGCCTCTAGTTAATTAATAATATGCAATCATTGCCAGCACTGAGCCCTTCACTAGTTCAAATATGCCAGCATCTCACCCCAACGAAAATTGATAGAATTTTTCATTGATATATTACCTTCATTATTAAACACAGATCTTGATATTTTTCTCCTTTAATCTTACTTCTTGATAAGGAATTTTTTTATGTTGTGCAGTCATGGCACATGTCTTCTGTCATATCTGCTTTGTCCCATCACTGCCAGCAGAAGTCAATTAGCTAACTAGCAACCTCAAAACTGTTGCAATTTTCTTTTTTAAACACTTCAATAAATTTCAGATTCCCAATAAAAGTTTCCTCTTTTTAGAATAAATTTCAGTAGTTTTCAAAAAAAGCTTAGGCCTACTTAACATGGTTGTCATTATCGAAATGGTTATTCAAGTCATCTGATAGTGATTGTCACGTTCTTGAGCACATTACATGTTAAAATAATGCACATTATCCATAAAAGCTTGCCACTCTATTGTTGAAATATCTTCGGAGACAAGAACCTCAATTGCCTATAAGCCATGAAAAAGGCAAGTGCTAAAATCTATTAAGTTTGTCTTTTGGAGAGAAGATTGCATCTGTGTTTGCCTGTGGTCAATTGGGAATATCAAGTAGTATGAAGACCATAACTGGGCTAGCTCTTGTTGCTTGATACAGAAGGAAGGTCATTTTCCTTCAGCCTGACTTTGCTATTCTAGCCTTGGAGGGGTGGGAAAGAATGGATTAGATATTCCTTTGTATATAGAAAATACACTTGTAAATAAAAGTGTTACATTTGGATATCTATATATGATATCACAACTTATTTTTAGCTTAGTTAGCCTCATTTCAAAATGAATGTGTAAAAAGATGTTTTCAAAGGGAAAAGAAAGTTTTGACATGATATACCACAAAATGTTAGAATAGTTTTCTCTGCAGTAGTGATTTTCAATTTGTGCTATATATTTCTCCATTTTTTCCTTATTTATTTCACATTGAACTCATAGGGTGAAGTAAAAGTAGGTTTATAGTTCTGAGTATGTGAAATAGTTTATTATTGTATTATTATTTACTAGTTATTGTATTATTTTCTATACAAACAACTATAAATCTACTTTTGCCCAATCCTGTATTCAGAACAATAAATTTAATTCCATTTTGAAATCTACACTTGTAAAATACCACATGACAACAAGATACGTATGCGTTAGTATGTAATATATTAGTATATTTTAGATGAGTAAATAATGTTCTTGTTAAAACTCTAGGAATTATGCCAGATTTTCGCTAGTTCAATATTTCAGTGTTCCAAAGATTGAGATCTCTTTCTAAAGAAAAGCATAGGCATGAGCTGAATAGGTCCTAAGTTAAAGGTTACATTATTGGTTTATGCTCAAGAAAGCCAAGGATTCACACACATTTTTAAATAACTTGTACTTTAAGTTTTAAGCATTATTCTCTTAACATGTGAAATTGTATTGCCTCTTTCCATTCAGTTGAGAAAAACATTATGACAAGAACTCACCCACTTTTAATAATTGAGGTCCATTTTAGCTTTAGATAATTCTGGCTACATTTTATGGTGTATTCCATCAATAAGATGGAAATGGGAGTGAGAATTACAAAAAATGAAAAATTAAATGTGGACATTACAAAGGGGAAATGCAATACCTAAAAATACACAATAAAAATTGAAGTGATCGTTAAACATCATTAAACTTTCTCAAACATGAACTTACCTAAACTTGGAGAGGGAAAACAGAACACGTAATCTGCTTTAAAATTTTGCCTATCCAAACCTGGAAAGCATTTTCTTTGAAAAAATACATTGAACTGGGGAAAGTAAAAGGAATTCTAGAAATTATGACCACATCTGAATTACAGAACAAATCTTCATAACTAATGCTATTTTAAGCTGGTATAGGGATTTTAGTTAGAACTATGGTAATGGAAATTTGCAGAAAACTGGAATTGAGCTGATGTTAATAACAGCTGTTAGAACAGCTGATCCACAATACCTAATGACTTCAAATGTGTGTTTCTGCCAATTCAGCGTGAAACTGCTTTTGTTTCTTTTCTTGATTCTGAAATTGCTCCTTTATAATATAACCTTCTAGTCATCCAAATATGCTCTGAAAATTTTGGAATATTATTGTTTATCATGAAAGTCAAGCAGAGTTGGAAGAACTTAATTATCTAGCTTGTGCTTACTTTGCCAACCCCCCCCCCCCCCGAAAAAATATCCATGTATATGAACTCTGCTAAGTCTCCCTTTGGTGATTTTTTCTTGTTATTCTTTTATCCTTTGTGACCATCTCAATGTGGTCAAACTAAAATATTAAAATGTATACATATACTTGTGTACATACTTAACTGCTTTTAAGAGTTTTAGGAAAACTATAAAGTTAGAGTTTGAGATGAAGTGAGATCGTTTGTTATGTTGTTTGTCTGATGGTGATGATGACAAAACAGCTACTTCATGAACTAACACTAGTAGATTTACATGAAGAATTTCCTTTAGAACTCAGCAACCATATTTCATACATGTAGTGTCTTGATAGTTGAGTTCCTGGAAATGCCACCTTGGGTCAGAACTCTAGTTTAACCAGCTTTGGATTCTTTATCTGAGATTGGTTTTTCAGTGAAACTTGGAGGGAAAAGATGATTACCATGACCTTTGCGATACCAGCTGTGAAGGTTAGGCTGAGGAGCATTAAAATCTATCTTTTCTAAATGGATCTAAAATGGATCTTCTTATACTTCTATTCTGAATTACTTTCAGAGTTATAATACTATATGTTTACTTAACTGCATCTTTTTCCATTTTTTGTTTCTCCCCTTAAAATTGAGACTTTACAACTACAAGGATATGTGTCCTGATGTTAGGGTTTTGTAGTTCAATTTAGCTGTATCTAAAGATTTTAGAAGTCTTAGTTTATCTAGGTGAAGGTGCTGTGATTTGAAAGAAAAGGTCATTTCTCTGGAAGGAGAGCCAGCTATCTAGCTCTAAAGGTTTAATGGTGTTTAAAGCAATTTAACACCCTCATAAAGAACATTCTAGTACCACTGATCACACTGAGAGATACAGATACATTTTGATGAGTCAATAGGGCCCAATTGAAATTGAAAGCCTATTCTAAAACGGTAGTTAAAAAAAAAAAAAAAAGCTAAAAACATCTAAGGAAGCCTTACCAAAAAGCGGGGAATAGTTCTTTCTATAAATAGGGATTATCTGTATTCCAACCCACTGAGGTCATTAACTTTGTAGAAATCACTTAACTCTGCTGAATCAGTGTGCCCTGGACAGGCCTTCCTACTTCTTTCTAGAGCTTCATTTATGTTACCTCTGTCATCTTTGGTAATGCCCTTGGCTTTGGACTTCTCCACTGCTCTTGGTTGGATGAAGCCTTTTCTAGGGGCTGCATCTTGTTCACATGCTCAAACATGAAAAAGCTGAGCTCAGATTTAGCTCTTATTTCTTGTTCATTTTAAAACAGAAAAAAACAATCGGTTGACCCTGTGGTTTTTCAATGTCCAGAATTTTCAGAGAACAAAATTCCCTAAAATTTGTGGAAATCCCTGGTGTTTCTGAAACTTTCTTTCCATAACTGAGTTTTTTTCTTCAAAATTTGTCTTCCTCAATGAAAAACTGTTCTATCAAGTAACCATACTCAGATGAGAACAGGAACTAAAGACTGAAAGTTACTTTATAAAATCAAGCTTTACAAAAGTAAGGAAAAAACATATATAGTTATTTTACTTCTGAAGAATAAATGTTTAAACCATACATTTTGCCTCAATCAAACTTTATGAAAAGTTTGGAAGGAGCTGAACTCCTTTGTGTAAAATACATTCATAAAATCCAAACCTATTTGAAACTTAATAACCTATTTCAGACTATCTGCATTCAAATCTCTGCCCTGCTACTTACTAGCTGTACGGCTTTGGGTGTGTCACTGAACCTCTCTGGGTCTCAGTCCCCTCATCTGGAAGGCAAAATACAGTATCTCATTGCATTTTTATATGAATTAAATGCAGATGGGCACATAGTAAGCATTCAATAAATTGTAATTACCATTATTATCGTCTATTTTCCTCAGTGCCATCAGTATATATGGGTATGTGTTTAGCTGGAAGAGGGCCCTATCCGATTAAAGAATAAGATTATAGACTATCATGCATTATGAACTAATTCCTTATTTGAAACAATGGAAAAATGGTTGCTTCAAATTTTAATTAACTCTAGATTTATACAAAGGGCCTTTTATTTTTATTTTTTCTGGGATCTTAATGTTAAGACCATAAGTAATGGTGGTAAACCTATTAAATCTCAGAAGAGGGGAAATTTAGAGTTAGTCTACTAACCATCTTCTTTTTACTCTGAAGTGGTGAACTGAAGGACCATTGGTTAAATCAGAACTTATTTTTCCAAGACACTGTATGTCTGAGATAATGTTTTCCCCTTCGTTTGAAAGGTTCGCTGGGGTGATAAAGGATCTACTGAGGAAGGTGCAAGGCTAGAGAAAGCCAAAAATGCTGTGGTGACAATCCCTGAAGAAACAGAGGAACCCATCCGGCCGAGGCCACCTCGACCCAGGCCCTCTTACCAGCCTCCTCAGACAAAGTGGTACACACCAATTAAGGTATTGCCCAAGTTTTGTGTAATTTAACTGAAATTTCCCAAAGAAATTGTAACTCTTTTTGTCCTCCCCACCCAAATCTCTGAAGGAGGATCCAGGTCCATCACATAGCAGACATGCAGTCTGCATTATAGCCACTGAATATGTTCTCAGCAACAAGGACCTCCTCTTCTTATTACTTACTTATTCTTTATTTTAATTTATGAAAAAAGTGAGAGTAGTGATTAGGCTGTACCATCTTCATTTTAACTCATGTATTCAGCCAATAAAGGTTGCGTGTTTTCCTTAGGAATTTACAAATATGTTCCCTTTAGGGTCGGCTGGATGCGCTCTGGGCTTTGTTGCGGCGGCAGTACGACCGGGTTTCCTTGATGCGGCCTCAGGAAGGAGATGAGGTTTGTATTCGAGGATGTGTTGGGAAGGAGCTGACTGCATGGGTCTGTATAATGAAAGTGAAATAATAATAATCAAAAAGAATTTAAAGCCCTCGGTACAATTGAGGAAGGAATTATCATTTCCTATTATATACGGTGCTTAATAAATTATCTGTTTTTAGAATACATCTTCAAGATGCAGTTTAATAAGTCCCTTTTCAAGTAATACATAAAAAAGTATGGCCCATTGTACACTTGCTTTAATGAGCACACTCTTTGCTTCAGCCTTTGACTTGGATGACATCATGTTCTGAGGTTTCATCCATTTGGGAGACAGACTCCAGGTTAGGAATTGAAGTCTTTCTCTAGCATTTCCTAGCAATGAAGATTGGAGAACACGCCTCAGAGCCTCTATTTCTCGGTATAAATATGTTATTTCCCTGCCTCCAACAGTTGATGAATCTAATTTGTTAAATATTTGAAAGTGTCTTTGAAAGCATTATAGAAATATATACACACATACACATATGTATAGAAATATACAAATACACATACACATGTGTATGCATTTTCTCTACCAAGTAAGCCTATTTGAAGCTTTTTTGTTTTTGGAGATTTGTCTAGAATTCCTCCAGTTTTACAATTTCTTTAATATATATATTAGCACTATTTGCTATTGTATCGATGTAGAAAAAAAATGTTTAAAATCTTTTGATATGCAACAATAGTGAGTTTTGTTGAGAAACACACCACTGTTAGTGGTAACAACAGTGTTTTCATTATGTGTCAGCACGACCCTGAACATCATTCACTTCAGCTTCAGAGGACTTCGGTTCATTCAGGTGCAATAAGCTATTTTTTTTTTTTAAGGATAAATAAGTGATGAGATTCATATTTATTTTACAGTGCCAAGCTAAAGTTATATTTAGTGTTGTATGGTTCTGTCGTGGTATTTAAAAGACAAAAATGTCTAAATCTTACGATTTTACTCCTATGAGATGGGGGTGATTTCAGAAATATCTGAGTTCAACCATTTAGGAAATCTAATTTGAGAAAATATTCCTGGAATATTCCCAGATCATTTACCCTTTGCTAGTACCACAGGTAGAGAGAATGAGGTAGTTTTTGAAGCAGACGTTTTCATTACTAGACTTCTGTGGCTAATAGAGTGGTCTTATATTTAATGGTACCTCTGTTTAAATGTACACATGATTTGGAGTTCTGCTTCTGCAACAACATATAGCAACTCTACTTATCATTCAATATGCTAGACTTTCTCTTCCTCATGTTAGACATTAGTTCATTTGTTCAATAATGTAAGTGTTTGGGATTGCTAACACTGAAGATGTATTGGCCAGCAAAAACAGACAATGCTCTCAGCACTCTTGCCAATACTTTATATATTCTTTTAATTCCCATAATTAAAATTTATTTTTCAGTCTTTCAAAATTCCTATCACTTTTGATTTAATTAAATAATTTTTATTATAAATATGTACAAGTAATGGCATCAGGTAATACTAACCAAGGGGGCAGGTGGTGTACAAACTGTAGCTTTTGCTCTTAAGAAACCTGAAATTTGTTTGGGAACCGAGACATATACATATATAAATAATGTTTACTCCAGAATGTGATCTTGAGTGTATACAGTAAGAGAGATTAAATCTTCCTTTTGGAGGAATTTTGGATGCTTTTTCAAAAACATAGGCCTTATGTCTTTGAAAAAAGGTAGGATTTCATCAGGTGGAGTTAGGTAGAATGAGCATTTCTATTGACGAAGCTTCATGAGCAAAGTCTCCGAGGCAGCCAAGAATACTATCATTTGTGGATTACTAGGAAGTTTGGAGGTTGGAGGTTAAAACCAGAATAGGTTGGGAACAGAAGAGATCTTTGAGTTTGGATAAGCTGATATATTTGGTTTTTGAAAGGATACATTAGTCTCGTTCATTCAACAAATATTGAGGTAGTGCCTAACATGGACCAAGATGTCCCAGTGGCAGGGCTCTTTGTGTTGGATTTTCTTGGTTAGCCGGGAAATCATTGAATGAGGTTAGTGTTGGAGTTGTTTTGATTGCATTTTTCCCCCCATATAAATTGGTGAATAACATTTGCACATAATTTTGTTATTTTCCTGTACTCATAAAAGCTGGTGTATGTTTACTACTAAGGATACTTCTTATGAAGTATTTGTTTAATGGTGTAGGAAGTGTGTGTGTGTGTGTGTGTGTGTGTGTGTGTGTGTGTGTAAATATAAAGCAATCTGTATGTTATAGGAATTAGGTAGGCTTTTGGAAAAATATTCTAGTTGGAATTGAATGCAGTTTGTTTTATATTGTCAGGAAACAAATGAGAGTGCTTTCATTTCCGAATTTTTAAAGGAAGGAATAGTCTTTTTCCTTAAAAAAGGAAAAAGAACAAACCTTATGATGTTTAAGAAACAGTAAAACACAATTGTTTTCAGGCCGTGGCTGATGGCTCCAATATAACAGAACCTCTGCCTCGTCAGCGGCACGTTTCCTACCTTGAAAAACAATCTTGTCATTTATTTATAAGTTGTTTACTGCAGATTCTGCCTCCTGAGAGTTCAGTTTAATAAACAAATCAGCGAACGTAGCACTAAACCCAGAGTCACGCACACTTATTCTGCAAGTCAAATACTCTCCTTTCATGACGCGGAGGCCGCACCGGGCTCATTTGCAGAATTCACGGCTGAATTGAAGTCCTTGATCAAGTCATTGAAGTTCAGGCATAAAGTATCAAAGCGGCGCGAGCCATCCCCGCGTCCCTCGCTCCCGCTCCCTCTCTGCGCCGCCAGCTCCTGCCAAGGAGGCGGTGCGTTCGCGGGCGCCAGGCGCGGGCTTTGGGCTGCGCCCCCTCCGAGCCATGCAGGTCTCAGCGCTGGCGCGAGGGCAGGGCCGCGGCCAGGTGTGAGCCTGCAGGTTGTCGCCGACATCTGTTTGCGGCGGTGGCGGCGGCCTCCCCAGCCGCCAGCGAGCGGCCGCCTTGCCAGCGGAGGAGGCTGAGAGCCGCTGGACCGTTTTGGTCTCAGCCGCTGCCTGGAGGCCCGAAACACCAAAGGTAGGAGCAGGGGTGGACACAGCTGCGCTCCCAAACTTGCCTTAGGCACAGATACAGAGATCTAATGCGGTTTGACTCCATTGCGGTGGGGAGACCGGGACAGAACGCCGCTTCAGAGACGACCGGGCGCTGCAACATCTGCCGCCAAGGTTCCCGGGAGTGAGGGGGACAGCAGGTACCGATCGAAGACTCCAATAAACAACCTCCACCGAGCGGGGACTCTTTTGAAGGGCCTCCATCAAACGCGCGGGAGTGCGCAGCAGGAGTTTGTTTGGTTTTCAAAGCAGTGTTTTGTTTCTGCAATAACAAGGTAACTTATAAATGATGCATTACCACCCGTTCTTTTTTTTTTTTTTTTTAATTTGAAAAGGGAGAGTTAGAGAAGCAGAAAGGCAAAGAAAGAGGAGAGCACAGCACCGTTTTTTGGAGTGGTTCCACAAACCCGTTAAATCCCCGCGGAGCTTCTTGGCTGAACCTGAGGTTATGTTAACGTTCAGGCCGCAATCCCTCATTCACCAGTAAGCAGATGTAAATGTATATACTGCCCTGGAAGGCTCCTAGTAATAGTAACACCCGTGATGTTCACCCACACTGTTTGTTTTTATTTATTTTTAAACATATTTTTGTTGATTTCAAAGAGAGAGAGAGAGACAGAAATATCACCGAGCCATGCCAGCGGGGCCACTGTTTGTTTTTAAACTTATACCACGGGGCTCCTTATGACATGGAGGTGAAATATAATTTGATTTTTTCTGATCGGTACACTCTTTTAGTAAAGCGAAGTTAGGAAAATTGCTTCGACTTTAATTTTCTTCCTCGTTATAAAGGCTTCATGTCTATATTTGGATATTAAAAATAAGATTTTAAGTCAAAAGTAAGAACTTCATGGTACTGGTAAAGGCAGCATTTTTCTTTTCTGAGGGGGTTTCCCCCTCTAACATCCAAGTTCAGCCAGAAAAAAAAAAATTGTGTAATTTTCTCTGGGAATATGGCAAAACTCACAATTATGCACACACAGATATATGACATAAAGAATTGTTTAAAATAGCCAGTTAAGTAAAACCCCAGGGTATAGTACGATAATACAGACCCTATAGTCATGTAAATTATTATAATTAAGAAAATGTAGGCCAGCCCGTGTGGCTCAGTGGTTGAACATGACCTATGAACCAGGAGATCACAGTTGATTCCAGTCAGGGCACATGCCGGGGTTGTGGGCTCAATCCTCAGTGTGGGGCGTGCAAGAGGCAGAGAGAATCAATGATTCTCATCATTGATGTTTCTATTTCTCTCTCCCTCTCCCTTCCTCTCTGAAATCAATAAAAATAATATATTGAAAAGAAAATGTAGGCTCCCTCACCTGTGGAACTCTCTGCATGACCATTTGAGATGAAGGACAGGTGCTGACCTAAAGGCATCCTTTGGAGTGGGAGGAGCCAGGGAGCAATGGCCTGGGGACAGATGCTAGTGTGTAGCAAAGTGTTCACCAGTTAGTGGTGAAATAAGCAATATAAGTGCATGGTGAGTTTCCAATTGAGCTAAATTTATTTTGTTGAGATTACTTTTGTTATTTATGCAAATACAATTTTAATTTTCTGAGATGATGGTAGCTGCTTAAAAAACAGTCCATTCTGACAGAACTCAATGTTAGTCTTCAATTTCTAAAAATCTACCCAAACAAATCTGAACATAGGGCAGGTTCGTTGAAAAGGCACCACAGTAACTGATAACTTCAGAGGCACATGGTTTCAGACTGGTTCTCCTGTTTACATCTCTCATTCTAGATTTATGTTCACTCCTCTGACCGTCCTGCTCTTGAATTCTCATGCTCAAATCAAACTGGCCTTGCCCTCCTCAATGTGGATTCTTCAACCCTTCTAACCCTCCCAAGGATCACTCTGACTTCCTGATGCTTACAGATCACCCAGTGCTCAGAAATATCAATCGCTTCATCTTCAGACCGAGTGAACACCTTGATAGCAGAGATGTTATGCCACATCACATTTGCAAACTGTAAACCACTTGTGTTACTGAAAAGATTGACACCTTCACTCAAATGGTTTGATGTGCTGCTCATGACTGCATTCTTGAACTTAGTTTTTAGGTTCCATCTAAATACAGAGTGGGGCAAAAGTAGGTTTACAGTTTTGAGTACGTAAAACAGTTTATTCTTATATTATTATTTATTCATTATTGTATTATTTTCCATAAGAATAACTGAAACTACTTTTGCCCCACCCTGTATGTTGTGCCATAATAGATTTTAGGGACTGTAAGGAAACCCTTTCTTTTAGCATGAGTCAGTATAATTGTACACAAAATGCCCATAGTACTTTCATACCTTTCCTTTTTAAAAAAATATTTTATTGATTTCACATAGGAAGGGGGAGGGAGAGAGAAATAGTAACATCAGTGATGAAAGGGGATCATTGATCGGCTGCCTCCTGCATATTCCACACTGGGGATCGAGTCCACAACTGGGGATCGAGTCCATATGCTCTGACTGGGAATGGACCTGTGACCTCATCGTTCATAGGTTGATGCTCAACCACTGAGCCACGTTGGCCTGGCATACCTTCCCTTTTTTTGTATACTTAAATGAAATAGTAGAGAAAAAATATCAATGAAAAAAAACCTATAAAGTGATTGCTTACCTTTGATTTCTGTAAGATTTGAAGTTTTATATGGTTCTTTAGGCCAATTATGTTTCATCACTGGGAAAGAGTACCACTAGACCTTCCTGTCCTTTATGTTACTAGTAGTACCTTTCATTCTTATTATTTCTTGTCTTTACATTTCCTGGCATCCTTATGATACCTTAAATACCCTGTTTAAATTAGTAGAAGTAATTATTAACTTTGGATAATACATATTTGAAAGAAATTTTTACTAAAATAACCCATATCATGAACATGCCATTGTTATTACAATCCCACTGACTGATAGATGTATGTTTACATCTGTATATGGGTGTGCATAATATGATGAACATAAGTATATGTATATATTTCCATAGAATATGTTTTTTCTCAGGGTGTATGTCATCAACTAATGTCCATTTCAATGGAAAATAACAAACTTATCAGAGTACTTTTTCATACAACTTCTTAGCTTAAATAAACCCATTTCTTAATTATGCATATTAGCTGGCAAAAGTGTTGACTTAATTTGGTTTCCTAATGTGAAATATAGAATATACTTAAATTACCAAAACATTTATTTGTTCAAAGAAAATGTAAGTAGAACTTGGATAGTGAATTGCATTTTTACTGTCCTGGTCCAGACATAATTTGTATTTAGTCTCATCATATACATTTTATGTACCAACTTAAAAGTTTAGGTAAAGATTTTTCTTGGTTGAAATTGATCATCAACCTGCTTGTCCACTATGAAGCACAATTTTAGTTTGAATCAAAATAAGAGATTTCTAACGTGTTTTAAAAAATGAAGCACTATTTCTTACAATAAATTTTTCTACTAAAGTCATTTCCTGACACTAAGGATTTAACAAAGAGTTTATTGTGAATTCAGTATATTTCATTCAATTAACATTAATGACCCCAGTGAGAACAGTGTGCACACACACTTATACACAGGATTCTATGGGTTTGCAATTACACATATACATCATATATCACGTAATATTTTAATTGCCTAACAGAGTTAGTAAGAAAATTTGTAAGACATCTATATATATAAAAGCCTAAGCAACCAGCCAATCTGCTGACTGTCTGACTGTCTGGTAGCTATGAAGCACAATGACCATCAGGGGGCAGACACTCCAACCAGTAGCTATGATGCACACTGACCACCAGGGGGCAGACACTCAATGCAGGAGCTGCTGAGCTGTGGTGACTTGGCAGCTGCGGTTCTTGGGTGACACACCCAGAACCACAGAGGAGGGAGCCCGATTCCAAAGTGTGTCACCCGAGTACCGCCCTCTCGCAATCTGGGACCCCTAAGGGGATGTTGGAGAGCTGGTTTTGGCCCGATCCCTGCAGGCCAGGCCGAGGGACCCCACCGGTGTACAGATACACCAGGCCTCTAGTGTTTTAATAAATATTTAAATAGCACATTTATATACATGGCATAAAAAGTTCTATAGTTATGAGTATTTACTCTCTGATTATCTTTCTCTGACCCTCATTTATCCCCTTTTTCCTACCTCTTAGCATTAGTTGATTCCTAAGTTTTAACCCTTGATCTTATGTTTTTTCTCATCCTACTTTTCTAGAGAGCACACAGATTTTCACTGTTTCACTATCATAATAGGCACGTCATTTTTCGAAAATCTATCCTCTCTCCTGAATTTTGCTTGCATGTCTCTGTAAACTTATATGAATTTTCCTCTTGGATATTCTATTGTCACAACATTATCTGTTTTTACCTGGACCTACCGTATTCCCTGTGTATAGCTTTCAAATTTTAACTTTTCTCTCTTGTTCTCTCTATCCTTCACCTGATGCATCTAAGCTAAGGCCCAGCAGACCTTATGGTTCTCACAACTCAATGAGTGGGGTAAAAACTTTAACTTCCTAATTCAGAGTATGATGTCCTACGTCAACAAGTAACAATATTTCCCTATAATGTTCACAAGATATTGATTCAATGAAAAGAATTGTGTCTATTAATGCCCCTCTTCATTTTATTATAATTGAATAAAAATGAACTATTGATAAATATATGCATTAGACTCTACTGATTCTTAAGAGATACATCATTTTAACTTTGTAGAATTTAAATGTTTTTGTTATCAGGACTTATAAT